CCGGCTGGATGCGCAAACGCCTTGCAGTTCAGCTCAACCTCCCGACCGACTACGAAGGCTACGTTAAGTGTGGATTTGACCGGCATCTGGACAAAGACTTCAAGGGCGGAGTGGCGCCTTAGATCAGCGCAGTTGCTGGGGTTGGTACTGATGAGGAAATTCCTGGGAAAAGCTGGAGGCTCGGCTTTTTTGACGGTTAGGCTCCGGAGGCTTTTGCTGTTGCCGCTTGTTTGTTCTTTCTTGTTGGTGCGGATTTAGACGGAGGTGTTGGAAGGGCAGCCAAAGGTTGCACAAAGGCAAAAGGGATCACGCAAGGGATCCCGAGAACCGGAGATCACCAGCCATGCACGGAGGCTGTGCAGGCTGCAAAGCAAGGACCAACACCGGGGCTTGCCTTGCACGACCGTACTCCGCGGCCTCCGTGGCCGGCCTGTATAGCCAGGAGGGCTCGCACGAGGAGCCCTTCCTTTGTACTTAGAAGACAGACGATTTTTGGCTATATATTAAATACCAAGACCTTCCCCAATGTCGGTACCGACACAGCGCCACGAACAGAGGAATCGGGGGGCAGTGTCGTGGCGCGGCGTGTGGACCCAGTGCACGGACCATCTCGTGGGATTTGGGCCGTGGCACCCCGCCTGCCACCTCGTAGATAGATTCCTCCCTCATCTGCAATTAATTGTTCACATCCGAGATCACGTACTGTCGTGCCGTGACACCAGGCTCCCATAACTACCTCGAGGTACCCACTTGGGTTTGCAATCTTTATTTGCCGGCGCGAAGACGAGCGAAGCAGCCAGAGAGTGATTCTGCCACTTTACCCTACACCCAGGGTGTCTCCTGAGAACCACGGAATGGCGCAGAAGACGTGGTTCTTGCCGCCCGATTTTACATTTCGTCCCTCTGGGGAGCTCGCTCTAGGAACGATAATCAAGGATCCCAGCCGCCCGACTCTCGCCCTAGCCGCCCTTGGCTCCGATGGACACCCAGAAATCGTCCTTCCAGGCATCGAAACCCTCCTCGAGCCCGGCCACTGCTACTCCCACAGCTCCAAGCGGTCCGGCGGTGCAAACTTGCTCGCCAAGTTCATCGACCTAGCATCGGCCTCGGCGAACGCCAACATGTCACGCTACAAGGAGTGGTCGCTCGGCAAAGTGGACCTCGAGGTCCGAACCTTTAATAAGGCAATAAGCGAAGACTCTCTGAAGGCAATAACGAGGCTGGAACGAGTGAAGAAGTATATGAGCAGTGGGCGATTCGGCAAGAAGCCTGTTTATATCATCTCCGGGTTGCGGGTAGCCAAAGACTCGTTCCAGGTGATGGACCAAGCCGGGTCGGTGGCGTCCATGTCGATGGAAGCATCCGGGCCCACCCCGGCGTGGACCCTACCCTTGGAGCTCGGGGCCGGCATCTCTGGTAGCCGCGAGCAAAGTCGAACGGATGCCTACCGGACGGCCGCGGACATCGTATATGCGTACAGGGTTCATGTGATTCGGGCAACAAGGGACGGCGAGGAGGCGGAGCTGTTCTCTTATAGGACGGCCTTCGGTGAAGGCGGAAATGATGAAGACGAGGCGCAAAATATGGAATGCGTTGATGTGACTGCAAATGTGCTGAAGGAGGATTTGGAACTGGAGCCTGCCTTCGACGAGTACTCACTGGGAGAAGGCGAATCTTGTATCGTCTTCAAGGGGCGTACCTAGTGCCCCATACGGTCCAGCGCCGCCAGCCTCGCTTGTGGACACCGGGTGGAACGCAAGAATTGCCAACCTTTGCCGCGTCTGCTTTAAAATACACCTCATTTCAATAAAGCGTTCGACTTCTTTCCTCTCTCCTGCTTGCTTGACGTCCGGCTAGATTGAATACTCCATCTATCGCGACGCACCCGCTGGATTCCCAAAGCTTGCAGGTGCTGGCTCTTGCTAGCTATGGATGCTGCGACTTTTGGTGGCAGGACGCTGAGAACCTCGCGCCGTGCGGGGTCGTCGAGCTCCCATTCTAGCGCGGGACTTGCGAACGCGAGGGGCAGTCGTACCCCTTGGTCGCGGGCCTCTCGGCCGTTGCTAATTACCCCGCTTTCAACAGCGACGCTTCGTGTACGGTGCGAGACGAAAGCGGCAGGCGGATAATTCACACGCTGGGCGGTGATCGCGGCTAAAGGCCTGATTTTGACTACTACCTACTTGTACTCAA